AAGATTGTTTCCTTTCTTGATTTTCAGCTGCTGTGTTGGTTGCTTAGTTTTTAACATTAAATCTCTTTTATCTTTTATCTTTTTGACATATTTACTTTGTACCTGTCCAGAAACAAAGTTTCTGCATCCATTCATTTCTTTTGTTCTTTGTGTTGATCCTGCAGGGAAGTGAAAGGCTCCTTCAACTAGTCTCTGATTACTCACAAACTCAGAACTCTGTCCTTTCAAATGATGAAAGCAATGAAATGGAGGATGAAGATTCCAAGCATCAAACTAAGGATTCAGCAGGTTCTCCATGGGTGAGTATTACGATCTATGTTGAAATTCAGTAAGAGCTTAGGAAGCTATGTGGGAGGTGCATGCGTTCAATAAGACCAGCATAATTGTTGTAGCTATTGTGGTTTTGCTGCTCATACTATCTCTTTGCTGCTGATACACTGTTGCATGTTCTGTGAACGCTTGTAAACACAACAGGTGTTGGAGCCATCAAAGGAACTTGAGGATCTTCTCTGCCAAGGACATGAGAACGGTGATCTAAGTGAACCTGCAATTGCAGATATATGCAAGGCCTTCAGATTGGACAAGAACGATGTTTTAAAGTACAAAAAACTAATGTAGTTGACATTCTATTTCAATTTTTTCCCCTGGCCATGTCTTGTGGAATTAGCATTCTGATAAAACTGAATGCCATGCCATTTTTTCCCCTTTTCTGAAAGTGTTAAGAGAGCCATGCCTTCACCTCGGAAGGTAGAAGAGGATCTCACCACACAGGAATCCACCTTCCTCCTGAGTATTTATAAGACTTCTCTCTCTCTTCCATTTTTCTTTTAAAATTAATTCTGATCCTAAAAGGAGATTTTATTTCTTGTTACAATGTAACATGTTTTTCTTTATGGAGCCTGCATTTACTCAGTGCTTTATCTGCACCTTATAAGCAATCGATATGCTTAACATAATTTTTGCTAAGGTTATAAATAATTGTAAAAGTTTTATCTTAACTTAATTATTAAAACTAATTGATAATTAATAAAATAAATAATATTTATTATTTAAAAAATTAAAATTAATTTAAAATTAACAATTTTAAATATAATAACCCAATATTTAAAAAAAATAGAAATTATAAATAAAATTACAGGTAAGTTAATAGCTTTAATAAAAGTACAGTAGCCTCAGCCCACCGCGTGTGACCTTGATTACTTTCAAAAATAAAAGAATTTAAATATTTTTAGTAAAACAACATACAAGGAAAACTTATAAATAATATTTAAATAAAATTTCAAATAATTTTGTTATTATTGTTATTTTTCTCTAAAAGAATTTTATTAAAAATTATTTTCTCCCAAATTCTCTCCTCTGAGCTGTTTGTAATAGAAGTTGCTTAAACGTCACTTATTTTGTTCAAAGTAAGAAAACTAAATTTCTAGTGATTCTCACTTCTTTCAAACTTAGGAACTTATTTAAAAGTTGATGAAATAACGCCATTTGATTGAAAAATTGCACTAATAATATTTTTTACTAGACAATTGTAGTAAAAATTGGGATACATTCTTACATAAAAATTCATAAATAAGTACTTTGGAAAAGCATAAGAGACTTCCTACAATTAAGACCACAATAAAATTAGTTTGTTAAGTAAAATAAATAGAAATAAAAAAAAAAAGGAGCAAAGGGGTGCATGATAGAAGTAAAGGATGATCTAAGGCTAAAGTAAAGACAGGATATAAAACTAAAGAACATGATAAAAATCTTAAAACACTATTAAAATTAAAACCTAAGAGTATTGGTAGATATGTAAATTGAAATTGGTAAAAATGTAAAGAACTAACTATTGATAGAAACGAAATGAAACTAAGATATTTATTTGAAATTTTAAGAAAAATTACAACTAGAGACTAAAACATAAATTCACTAATAAAACAGAAACTAAAACTAGATAATTAGATAAAAATGTAAATTATTGCCAGAAATGTGAAGTGTGCTGGTAGAAGAAGATCAACTAAATTAAATCTAATTACTAGAGCTAACATAATAAAAAAACAACAAAAACAAGGAATCTATTGAAGTAGTTAAACCTTTTCTACATTAACAAAAAAGTTATAAAGTTGTTGTATGAGTTATTTATGAACTAAATTAGCACCAAGTTAAGACAAGTTGAAATATAAATGTTGTTAAGAGAGGTGGCCCTTCGAAAAAAATGTGTTGAAGTGTTGTATTTATCGGCCTCCATAATTGAAACTGATTGTTAGAAATCAAATCTAATCCTGATTTTATCCAACTCTTCAATTATTGTGCTTGACCACATTAAGGGAATCTCAATAGGTTTGAAGGAATCTCAACAGCTTTGAACCCTTTCTTACAAAATGGATTTTTGCCACATGTCATTTAATTGCTAGAACCAGAATTTTAATTGTCAGAAATCTTTAAAATCAGGTTTGTTGTAACCGTTGTTGATTTTTCTTAATTAAATTGGACAATTTTACATCATATCAACAAACTCCTTGATTTTGTGGAATCTAACATTTTCCTTTTCATTTCTGTTACATGGAAAAAATTCATTACATCAGAATTTCTCCTTATTATGGACTACATCACACCAAATTATGATGGTTGATCATCTTTTAAATTTCCAATTATATAAAAAAAATTATGACCATTGGATCTCAATTAGGGACTTATGGCATCATCAAGAAAATTTTCAAATGTGGTGTAAACAAAAAATATGTTGAAAAATTTATAATCTGAACTGCTCTATATCTTTTCCAACTGACCCAAAAAAAAAAAAAAATTTGTTCTCAAAATTCTATCAAGCTCTTAGTGAACTTAAGATGGAAAGCCCATGGGCTTTAAGGTCCATACCAAAACTGGTGCACACCAATGGCACGTGGAAGAGATCGGCTATATAAATTCAAGTCCAACAAAATTTTTATTTATTCTATTTTTTGATAAAAAAGTCCAACAAAATTTAGTTCACCGGAAAGAAAGTCAGTCTAGGAATCGAGGCTCTTTTGTTCTCTTCTTATTGCACAAGAAAGAGGAAGCTGCCGCCGATCGAAGGATGGCGCCGGAACCAGAGGATGAGATTAAGGACGAGAAGAACCCCCGCCCTCTCGATGAAGACGACATAGCTCTTCTCAAAACTTATGTACGGGTCTTTCTCTTTCTCACTCTCCCAAACCCCTAATTCTGTTCTGCTTTTGTAGTTTGTTTGAAAGGATCCTCCTTTACATCGGTTTCCTTTGTTTTGGATCTAATTTCGTTAGGGTTCTATCTGTTTTGTTCCTTCTGTTGATTTTGTTATGTGCGTGGATTCTCCAAAGTTTTTGGATTCTGGTGTGTTTTTTCTTTAGACTTGATTTAGGATATTATTTCAGTATTTGAAGATCGAGCTTGCTCTTTAAGCTGGAATAGATCAAGGGGAAGGATGGTGGGAGGGGTTGTCATATTGATCCACTTTGTGCTTTCTATGAGCTTCAGTGTGCTGGATTGATTTTGCCTTGTGGGGGTAGCAAATGAATTGAAAATGAAAAAAGTATATGTCTTTGAAGTTAAAGAATTTGCTTTATTAAATTGTCCTTTCAATATACTCTGAGTTCACAGCATATTCAAATGGCGTGAAAAGGGCTCTTAGTATTTTGGATCGTGTTTGGATTTTTGTGTGATTTTAATTTCCTGAAAATAATTTATTTTGTAATGGATGGTTTTTTGTTTGTTAGATTGGTCCTTAAATTCACAGAACTCGTTTCTTACTTCTAGTAGGTGGTTCTTTTTCTTATATCCTTGTGATGGGTTGTGCAGGGCTTAGGACCTTATTCCTCAGGCATAAAGAAGGTTGAAAAGGAAATCAAGGATTTGGCCAAAAAGATAAATGATTTATGTGGTATGTTTTTCTTTTGACTTTCTACTTAAATGATTAGTAATGATAGAATTTTTGCTATTGTCAACATCTTTGACGATCCAATTGTGCTGCCATTTTTGGCATTTTAATTGTTCCTGAATGTCTATGTATATTGAAGAAACTTTAGAGGGGTGTGCATGCGTGCTGCTTGCATGTAAAGATACATGGATATTCACTGTATTTTTTTTTTTTAATGTTTTATTTATTTATTTATTTTCCCTGTATTGCATTTAAAACACATGGTACATGGGGTACGATTCATATGTGTGCCTTATTTTTTGCCTACGGAAAAGAAAGCTAAAGTAACTTGTATTTGGCATATGAGATGATATTATTTGCAAACATGCCCGATGGGATGGGTTAATCAAGCTCAGCAGGCTGGGATGACAGATTGTTAATTTATAACTTTTTCTCTCTCTTCTTTTTTTTCTTTTTTCTTATCAGTAATTTATAATTTTTTCCTGATTTCTGCTATTGGGCTGCATTGTTAAATAGGCATAAAGGAATCAGATACTGGGTTAGCTGTGCCAAGCCAGTGGGATCTTGTTTCTGATAAGCAAATGATGCAGGAGGAGCAACCTCTTCAGGTATTAATCTCTTTTTTTAGTTTAAGAAAAATTATGTTTTTAATGCTTTTTTCTGAGTCATTTGCTGCTGCCATCATTCAGGTGGCAAGGTGCACAAAGATAATTAATCCAAACACAGATGATGCCAAATATATTATTAATGTTAAGCAAATTGCTAAGGTATGTACCTCAACTTTCAGGCCTTCTTCTTATGCTTCTTCCATTTGGAAAATGGTGTCATTTGATGATAGCTATTCCTCAATGTTAACCTAAAACAACTAAGATCTAGATTTCCTGCCCGACTTGATTTTATTTTTTGAAATGCAGTTTGTTGTTGGACTTGGTGACAAAGTTTCCCCCACTGATATTGAAGAAGGCATGCGTGTGGGGTAGGTTCTCTATTCATTAGAAGATTTCATTAGAAGATTTCATTCTATTATTTTTAGACTGTCTTTCCCTTTATTTATGGTTACTGTCAAGCTCTTCAATTAGAGATTTATTTCCTTGGGAAGTTTGCTGCTTGCTCTGTCTCATTGAAATAGTTTTCTTTTCGAAGTCTGTTTTTGCAGTTAGATAATTTTTGGCTTCTCTTAAAAATTTGTGAATTTCTGACTGTTCAAGGGCAATTCTGAAAGTCTGTTTCTGCACACTTGTAAAACCTCTTTATGAGATTGATTTGGAACCTACTGACAGCTTCTCATTTCTCATATTTCTCAAATGCCCTTTTAAGGCTAGCATCAATTTCTGTAGAAATTTTAAATAAAGTTTTGCAGACTAAATGTCAAATATGACATTCAATTAAGTATGGTTCTCTTTAGCTGTTGATTTGTCTTCTTCTCCTCATCTTATCAAACTGGAGAAGGAGATGCTTTATTGCCATGAAAACTATCATTTTAGTCTCATGATGGAAGGCTATCATATCATTCACTTGAAGAGTAAAAGCAAGGGACATTGTTTGGTTTGGTTGATGCTAGCATTTCAGCCCACGGCATAATGGCTATATTCCCCCTTTTTTCCCATTTGGAGTTCTCCCATGTTTGCTTTCATGTATCTATTAGATGCTATCTGATCAATGTTCCACTGTCACAGGGTTGATAGGAATAAGTATCAGATACAGATTCCTTTGCCTCCAAAAATTGATCCAAGTGTGACCATGATGACTGTGGAGGAGAAGCCAGATGTCACATACAATGATGTTGGGGGATGTAAGGAACAGATTGAGAAGATGCGAGAAGTATGTTGAGCATTTCATAAAATTTTGTTCTCTTTTTTTTTCCCCTTTTTGTTTGGGCAGTTGTCACTTTGTACATTATGGTGATAAATTATGGTGATAAATTAAACAGATGTGTGTCTGTATTAATGAGTTTTGTTCTTACAGGTTGTTGAGCTGCCAATGCTTCATCCTGAGAAATTTGTTAAGCTTGGAATTGATCCTCCAAAGGGTGTTCTCTGTTATGGTCCTCCAGGAACTGGGAAGACACTTTTGGCCAGAGCTGTGGCCAATAGGACCGATGCATGCTTCATTCGTGTTATAGGAAGTGAGCTTGTACAAAAATATGTAGGTGAAGGAGCAAGAATGGTTCGAGAACTTTTTCAGGTTATTGCCCTGACATTTTTTTATTTTTTATTTTTTTGGCTTTACCACCTTTCATGTTTCCCTATTATCTAACAAGGATATTGTGTTGCAGATGGCACGTTCAAAAAAAGCCTGTATTGTGTTCTTTGATGAAGTTGATGCAATTGGGGGTGCTCGTTTTGATGATGGTGTTGGTGGAGACAATGAAGTGCAACGTACAATGCTTGAAATTGTTAATCAGCTTGATGGGTTTGATGCTCGTGGAAACATTAAAGTTTTGATGGCAACGAACAGGTGAAGTTGGTTATCTAATACACCTTTTTATTATGTGAAATGCAACTGCATGTTTATTGCTCCATATCCAACTCACTCTCCACATCCCCGTTTAACTATGATTTTCAGAATGAATTTTGTAAGTTTGGAATTGTCAATACCCTATAGGTTCTTACAACGTGAATTGTTTTGCAACATTTTCCAGGCCTGATACACTAGATCCTGCACTGCTGCGTCCTGGGAGATTGGATCGTAAGGTTGAGTTTGGTCTGCCTGATTTGGAGAGTAGGACACAAATATTTAAGATCCATACTCGAACCATGAACTGTGAAAGGGACATCCGTTTTGAACTTCTGGCCCGGCTTTGTCCAAATTCAACTGGTAATGATTCTTCTTTCTGAAGTACCTTCTTTCCTTTTTGGGTGTAGCTCGCTCTAGTATTTTCTTGTTTATTTTATAGGTGGTGCTATTGGGACAACTTTTTTGTCCCACTTTTTTATACAACTTTCACATGTCATTAAATGAATGGATGTATTTGATATCATGGATCCTACATGAATTAAAAGAACTAATCATTTTAATAACACGTCAGGTTATACAAAAAGGTATAATAAAAAGGTTGTACAAAAAGCATTTTCCTTATTTTATATAGGTTTGTAATGAGAATTCCAACCTGGATTTTTGCTTTCAGGAGCCGACATAAGGAGTGTGTGCACGGAAGCTGGAATGTTCGCCATCCGAGCACGAAGGAAGACGGTGACAGAGAAAGATTTTCTTGATGCAGTAAACAAAGTCATCAAGGGATACCAAAAGTTCAGTGCAACCCCTAAATACATGGTATATAATTAAAATCCATGGCATATAACAAATATTTCCTCCACTGAAACAGATTGAATGGGGGTGCGCTCTTTCCAGTAGTGGTTGATTGTCTTTAGATTGAACCCCTATTTTCATTGTAATGCAATATTACGCCTAAAGATTGGCCCCATGAATTTGTATCACTGTATCTTGAGAGAAGTTTTCATTTAATAATTCAATAGACCATATGAAGAAGATAAATTACTGTATCTTTCATAGGCGAAGTCGTAGTAAAGTAGCCAAGGCTAACTCTCTCGCCTGCGCTAGTGAATCATATGCCATCCGAGTATCCACTAATCATGATGGGGTGGGGTTGGTCATCTTCTAGCTTACTTTGCTAAAACTACGGTTACTTCCACGGCGTCTACTAAACTAATAAGATCGGAGAGAGAAAGTGATTCAATTCAATAATGTTAATTTGATTTGAGAAGTAATCAAGGAGTGACTCCTCGGATGAGGCTTAGTGAACTATCTTTTCTTTTGTTTGATGTATGCGGTATGGTTTACTCAATGAGGAGTAATCCTTTCCTTAATTCCATTTCCTCATTATGGTGAAGACCGGATTTCAATCCTAGTTCTGTCTTTCAGAGGACTCTATCAAGACACTTTCAAATTTCTACAATCTTCAAATATTGATAGTTTTTGTTAGATAAATGCCATCTCTAATTTGGTTGGGGGCATTTTCACCTTTCCATTTTAAGAATTTAATGTCTCTGAGTTTACTTTACCCTTATATTAAGAAGATAATTATAACATATATTGTAATAAAGATGCTTATTATGAAATAGGAATAAATATGAAATTTTATAAATTTATTATTACATTCTTATTTTATTGGAAAATAAAACTGTAGATCCATTAAAGTTAAATCAAATAGAATAATTCTGAGTTTCTCAATTTTTTTTAGTACATTAGATAATAAATGATAGATTATATAATCTTCATTTGGGGAGGACTTTTGTTATTGGCTCATTACTAAATTTATTTAAAGGAATAATTTAAAATTTTACTATCTAAATTGTAAAATACTAATCATTAAATGGAGAAACCTACACTCATTATCAAGTGGTCCCTCATTATTTAATGGTTAATGTTTTATAATTTAATATAATTTAAATTACAAAACTTCTTTTTTTAAAGGAATAACCAACTTAAATCCAAAAAAGGGGAGTTTTAATTTAAGGACAAAATAACATAAAATAAGTTCAAGGTAACATGGGATATTGGAGTGAATAGTAATCCCATATTAAAAAAATGGGCCTAGGCCCTTCTAAGGATCTATATTGATTGCCAAGCCCATAGCCCATAGTAGAAGCGGCGCCTGTTAAAGCCCGCGCGAGGCCGAGTTTCCCTTCTCCGGCATTCATTAGTAGTTCTTTCTTCTTTTTAAAGTTGGGAGCTGCAACTTTTCTTCTTCTTGTTCTACCCCTTTTCTCTCTTGGAAGGCAAATCCATCAATCAAGGAATCAATAATGCCGGCAGACATAGAAGATGAGATCAAGGACGAGAAGAACCCTCGTCCTCTCGACGAAGACGACATCGCCCTCCTCAAAACCTATGTACACTCTTTTCTCCCTCTTCGCCCCCTCCTCCCCCACCTCTGTCTGTCTTCTAATCTTTCAATTTACAAAAAGTCCAGATCTTTGCTTATCTTGATTTCATATATTTGTTCCAATGGTGTCAATGTTCCATTATCTCTTTGTTTCTCAAGTTTTCAAGATCATGCCGTACACAGTTTTTCTCGAATTTCTTCGTAAGAAAACGTATTGTGTAGTCCGGACTGCACAATCAACCATTGGATATGGCGTTAACCCACTGATATTGGGGTTTGTCTCTGTATAATGATTCTTATTTTATAGGCTGGACTGCAAAGCAAAAACTCTTTTCTGATTTCGGTGGATTTAGGAAAGTGCTAAGCTGTGATGTGTTTGGAAAACTCCTTCCCATTTTGCAGTTTGAACTGCACTAGACGTTTTACGGTCTAAAGTACACTAGACTGCAAAGGGGAACCATTGATTGGGGACAGCTCTCATATCATTGCTGCCCCCCATCCAATGGTTTAAGTTGTGTGCTCTAGACTGCACAACTGTTTTGTCTTTGTTTTTATGTGAAATATGCAAAGTAGAGGAGGATATTGTATTAAAGGATGTTGCTTTAGCTGTTCTGTTCTTTGGAAATTTTGAAATTTTAATGCGGTTTGGCTAGTGTTAATTTGTGACATCTGATATGATTTTCATTGTTTTGGTCAGTTTGAAAAAATAAATAGCTAAAATGCAGAGTAGGGAATACTGGATTAAAAGAAGTTGCTATATTTTCCTGGGAAACTGTATGTTTAATGATTACAAGTACCCAAGAAATGTAGTAGTAACTCAGAGAAATGTCATGGGGATACATCTCATGTGGTATCCCGGGCTAATAGAAAAATGACACCTTTGAAATCTTTGCATCTCATGCTGAGGTGTCAGCAGAGGTTTTCGAGGTGTCTCTTCTTATTGGAAGGGAAACCTCTGATGTGGAATTCAGATGCAGTTGTATCCTTGTGATACGGCAGAAAACTTACTTTTTTTTTTTGGCTAAAGCTTGATCTGCAGTTTGTGCTTGTGGGCTTCTTTTTGGTTAACTCCTGTTTTGTGACCATTAAAAAGCTTTCAATTTTCTGTTGGTATTTTTATTGTCACTGTTTTTACACGTCTTAAATGTTTCTGCAGGGTTTAGGACCATATTCCACAAGCATAAAGAAAGCGGAAAAGGAAATCAAGGAAATGGCCAAAAAAATCAATGATTTATGTGGTATGTTTTCCATTTCTAAATTCTAATGCTAACTTTGCTTATTTTAAAAAATTTTCTATGACTTTTCCTGTGTTATGTTAATATTCAGACATGAGGTGTGCTTACTGTTTGCTTATTTCAACTCTTTTCATTTGCATTGTTGGCCCTTTCCTATCTCTACCAACTGGTTACTGGATAGTTGTTTACAATGTATTAATGCTTTCTTCCACCCCCTTTCCCTGCATTCTATGACAGGTATAAAGGAGTCAGACACTGGGTTAGCCACACCCAGCCAGTGGGATCTTGTCTCTGATAAGCAAATGATGCAGGAGGAGCAACCTCTCCAGGTATCAAATTTTGTCTCTCACCACCCCAACCCTACCCTAAAGGTGGCTTAAATTTAGTTGATGTATTTGGAAGACATATTTCTGAGGCACTGACTATTTTTTCATCACCCAGGTGGCAAGATGCACTAAAATCATTAATCCTAACACAGATGATGCTAAATATGTTATAAATGTTAAGCAAATTGCGAAGGTATGCAAGTTTTTAACCTATATCAGGTTGAAAGAGCAAATAGAGTTTCTTTGATATAATTCCTGCCAATCACTTCACTTAATATAGGTTCTTTATTTGATGTCTAATGTGAATTTCACATCTGAACTGCAGTTTGTTGTTGGGCTGGGTGACAAAGTTTCTCCCACTGATATAGAAGAAGGCATGCGTGTGGGGTAGGTTTTGATTTTGTTAAATTATGTGACGAGTTCTTTTCCATGCTCTCCACCTCTTTTGAGCTTTTAAATTTCTTTTATTTTCTGCTTAGATAGCCATATTGGACATAAATGTTATTTTGAGGCTTGATGTTCGGTCGAATAGGCACTATCAGGTTTCTATTTCCTTGGATGTCCATTTAAAGAGAGGGGGGACTGTTCATGCTTTAATGATTTCCACCCATTCCCCTGTATTTATTGTGAAGCACATTTTGTTACCCTTTGCTTCTGTTTCTATTTATGGAATCTTATTAGTTGGATCATTGACCATTACTGTTCCTTTACAGGGTTGATCGCAACAAATATCAGATACAGATTCCCTTGCCTCCAAAAATTGATCCTAGTGTAACCATGATGACAGTGGAGGAGAAGCCAGATGTGACCTATAATGATGTTGGTGGATGCAAGGAACAAATTGAGAAGATGCGAGAGGTTTGTAGTCTTTATTTACTAATTATTTATCAACCAAACCTATTTCTAGCTACGGTTTGCAAACTAGGGTAAGAAATTGGCATATGTTGATGAGTTTGTTTGGCTAGGTGGTTGAGCTGCCCATGCTTCATCCTGAGAAATTTGTTAAGCTTGGGATTGATCCTCCCAAGGGTGTTCTCTGCTATGGTCCTCCAGGAACTGGCAAGACACTGTTGGCAAGAGCTGTAGCCAATAGAACAGATGCTTGTTTCATTCGTGTAATTGGAAGTGAGCTTGTGCAGAAATATGTGGGTGAAGGTGCTAGGATGGTCCGAGAACTGTTTCAGGTTATAACCTGCTAACTTCTCCATGTTTATGTGTATTACTGTTATCCTGTATTTGTTTTTGTGCTGGCCTATCATATAACTGAAGTGTCTGCAACAGATGGCACGTTCCAAAAAAGCATGCATTGTATTCTTTGATGAAGTTGATGCAATTGGGGGTGCACGGTTTGATGATGGAGTGGGTGGAGACAATGAGGTTCAAAGGACAATGCTTGAAATTGTAAATCAGCTTGATGGGTTTGATGCTCGTGGAAATATAAAAGTCCTGATGGCAACAAACAGGTTAGTTGGATATCCATGCTCAACATATGATTTATGTTGCCCTGTTTAATTTTTTGAAAGACGCATTTTTCTTGTCATCATAGACATTAAATACCATTACAACGTCAAACGTGCACTTGAAAGATATAGCCACATAGCTCCATTGTGTTTACAATATAACTTACTTGTTTTCCCCATCACTTTTCAGGCCCGATACATTAGATCCTGCACTGTTACGTCCTGGACGGTTAGATCGTAAGGTTGAGTTTGGTCTTCCTGACTTAGAGAGTAGGACACAGATATTCAAGATACATACTAGGACAATGAACTGTGAAAGAGACATTCGATTTGAACTCCTGGCTCGGCTTTGTCCAAATTCTACTGGTAAAATATTTTCTTCTATACTTTGCTCTACGTTCTTCATATGCTTCACGTTTATGTTTCATTTCATCCATCTTATAGAATGGAGTTAATTTTCTGACTTACGTATATCAATTGCAGGAGCCGACATAAGGAGTGTGTGCACAGAGGCTGGCATGTTTGCCATTCGGGCACGGAGGAAAACGGTCACGGAGAAGGATTTCCTTGATGCCGTGAACAAAGTTATCAAGGGATATCAGAAGTTCAGTGCAACTCCCAAATACATGGTCTACAATTAAGATCCAAGCGGCAAGAAAACACATGGTCCAACCTGCCTGGGAGTCCGTCAATCTTCCCAAATGAAGATGCTTTAGGCTGATTTAATTCTGTACCTTAAGGACCCTTCCGTACACATTGTTGTTATCCAATTTTCAGCATTTCACATTCATTTGTTACTAACAGGATTCAGCTGCGTTATTTTTCTCCCTTTGGTTCTCTCTTTTCGAATGAACAATTTAAGATGAAAATTTCAATTGGGTTTCGGTTATGGTTCAGTTAACAGTGTACAATGTGATTTGGCTGTCAAACATTTGAATGCATATTGATTCCCATTACCTATTTTCGAAAAAAAAAAAAAAGAATGCATATTGATTCACGTGGCTAACTAAGTGATGTCACATCACATATCACATTGTTTGAAACATTATTGTTATAAGCACTGTAACTCATTTCTCATGCATAGACAAAGTGGTTCATCACTTGATTGTTAGTCGAAATATTATCTCAAGTTGAAAATTCGAGTTTCAGGTGATCTACCTTTCTCATCTCCTTTGTATGGTAGGTATGATTGTAATTTGTTCATAAAACACATTGTAACTCAATTATTTTCTGCCTTTCAGACTAAAGTTGTACTAGTAGAATACAAAACCATGATTAGATTATAACCTCAATATGAAGGTAGATGGTTTTCAAAAAGTAAATTTTCATTTTGAATGAAGAAAATGCTCGGCCCTTTGGAGTTGTGAGAAAAGCAAATCTTATTATTGGATATTGAAGACGAGTTGTTTGGCATTTACAGATTTAAGGAGCGTGGACAAATTCCATTTCACAGGAGCAACAGCATGAATCCCCATCAGACTTTTTACGGAATGTGGGGTTGTACAGGCTGAAGTTAGGGGGGGTAAGTTGTAACATGATTAAACACTCTGAAATGAGTATGGGAAAGGAATAAAAACACTAAACATCATTACAAATCTCACTAGTCTTCATCACCAAAACGGCAAAGCCGGAAATCTGTATCAATTACATGTAGTCTTGTGTGTCTGGGTTCTCAGCTCGCTGGGATGCTCCATGGTCTGTTCCGATTGTCCTCTTGCTCATGTTAGCCCGTTGCACTAAGCGAACCAATGCTTGAACCACTTCTGACATGGGTGGTCGAAACTCAGGCTCCGGCTACCACAAAGCAATAAATCAGATCAGTTTGCTACCATTACCATAGAGATACTCTAACCAATGTAGGTGTCACTCTCATTGATATGACCATGCCAAAACCTTAATTGTAGAAGTCAGGATATAGCTGAAATAGGAAAATGGATCTAAACCCTGTTGCAATTTTTAAGTTTGAGTTTACCTGGACACAAAGAGCAATGACATCTGCAAACCGAGAGAGAGATTTAACTGGATAGAGCCCTTCGAGTGCTGGATCAACCATCTTAGATAATGCATCAATGTCATGAAGCTGAGGAGTTGCCCATCTAACCAAAGACTGTTCCAATCTTGGCCTTGAGCTGTTGAAACACACATGGTAATTAGAAACATATGGCAAAGAGAGTGAATATTCCAGTCAAGGAAAAAATAATAACTCAAATAATGTTTCAACCTATCAAATGGTTTACGTCCAGTGAGAAGTTCCAACATAACCACTCCAAAGCTGTAAACATCACTCTTTAGAGAATGCTGACCAGACATGACTACCTCAGGAGCTCTATAACCCGAACCAGCATCATCATGATTCAATGCCTGCACAAACAAAGAAAACAGTTTTTAGAATCTTCACAACTGACAAATGAAATACTATAGCCCAGTGTAAAAGGATTGACAACAGATCACTGAAGGGCTCTTCCCTGCAATATCTCAGCAAAAAGATACACTTTCAACCATTCCAAGGGGTGATATCAGAGCATCACCATCTTTTGCCCAGCAAAGATTATACAAGGTTGAAGTGACAGTGTCATGGACACTACGACAAATGGTAAGAAACTTTAAAATAAGTGAGATTTAGAGATTTAAACTTTAAGTGCCAGTATCATTTAGGAGGCCTAAAATTCACCTGCTCTGCATTTGGGATAAAGCCTGCCAGGCCAGAGTCAGCAAGGTGAGGATTAAGATCGGAATCCAGTAAGATGTTGCCTGACTTGATATTTTTGTGAACAATAGATGGTGAACATACTTCATGAAGGTACCTGGAAAATCTCTTTGTTAATTCCATGAAGCCAATTCACACACACCTACATGCGCACGCGTGCACACACACACACACACATATTTAATGGCTAAAACAGTTTTTTGATGTCTAGCTTACCTAATTGACTTTTCCTTAGTGAAATAGATATATAATTACCTGATAGTACACATTTAATCTTAATAAAACCTGGAAAACTAGCTAATTATCTGATAGTACACATTTATGGACACATTTCCACAGCCAAACCATTCCTATATTTTTCAGTAAGGACCAAAAGCATGCATCAAAATAGGCAGAGGAGGCAATCAAAAGTGATGCAGGCAGTCTTAACTATCTATATCGTTCTGGGGTCCAAAAATAGTTTCTAATTTTTTCCACTTGCAGTGTTGATTCCTAGAAGATAATAAGCTAGCATTCTGTTCTATCATAGCTTCAGTATCTACTTACTCTAATGCTCGTGCTGTCCCCAAAGCAATCTTGACACGGGAGTTCCATATCAATGGCTTGCTGTACTCATCTGGCAGATGCAGAAAGTCATGCAGCGAGCCATTTTTATGGAACTCATAAACTAGAAGGTGCTGTCCGTGCTCTGAACAATAACCCACAAGCTCTGTAACATTTGGGTGGTGCAACTTGGAGATGTTTGAAACTATCTCTATAAAATCATCAGACAATTCACCAGGAAGAGCTGATGAATCTATTTTCTTCACAGCAAGAACCTGTCATGGTATAAAACAAAGTTAAAGGATAAGATCACTGGAACCCTTTCAAAGCACTTAAATTTAATTTGCTTGCAGTTACAATCATCAACAAATAATTTATTCATCTAAGTTTTTTAAACTTTTTTGAGAATCATTAAAAATGAAAGCACAGCTATGTTCAGTCCTGGTTTGATATCTTGCTTACGTATTCTTTTATATTTTATTGGCAAGAAGAGTACCTTGCCATCATCAAATTGAGCTCGATAAACACGTCCAAAAGACCCTTCACCGAGAAGATTTTCAATACTGAAGCTTCCAGTGGCCATCTGGAGGTCTGCTATTGAATATGTTGTAACATTTGTTGGAGGTGGAACAGTTTTCTTCACAACTATAGGCTTTTTTGAAAAATCTTCTTCATCAAATGATTTGTGCCGGTCAACTGGTGGGGGTCGAAGATTTATTGAAACAGGAACATCAAAGGTTTTTGTATCAATTGAGGAAGAGGACTGAATGGATTTCATTTCTGCAATACAAGTATAAGCATGAGAATCATGTAGTAATATCAACAGATCATAGTTTGTAAGCTGTCAAAACAGAATACCCTTAATGTACTAAAGTAGATAGTTGCACAGTAGCCTAGAAGTTCTAAGTCCCATGAAGTTTTACTGGACTAACTGCCAACTAAAACATCTGAACAAGGCATCTTTAAAACATTATTGCCGAGTTAATCAGCACCAGAGAGGCAGAGATTCCCTACAGAAGTTGGATTCATTTACCATATTCTTCTGGCCATACAAGTAAAACCGATTAGACACCTATTAGAATGAAAGATATGGAGAAATTCCAGCAGAGCCAAAGACTCAAGGATGGATTACGTGCAGTGTTCTTCTATAACCTACTGAGTTTTGCAAATAAGCATTTACCTCCACTCTGAATATTTCTAACTTTTCAAATGGGGCATAAAGGAATAGCACTTACTGAGGAAGATAAACTCAGAACTGCTACTTCTAAAACAGGTTATACGCAATTACGAATGAATACTATCAGAACAAATATCTACCTGTTCACAATGAAATACAAAAGTGACCATCCCTCAACTTGTGCATGCATAACCCACCAAGCAATCAAATGTACCAGCATTGCAAGTAAAGAGCAATAAATAGAGATAAGTTGGTGATACAAAATTTGATTGCAGAATTCCAGTAGAATAATAGTTTTACCTAGCACTTCATTAGAAGCAAGAGGAACAAAGGGCTGATTGTCAGGCTTTTCTATATCTGATGAGGACTTCCTGGATCTTTTCTTCACTAGGAAGAATGCTATTATACCCCCAACAACAAAGATGGAAATAATTATTCCAGCTATGCCACCAGCTCCTATACCTGATTTGCTACCACCACCAGAACCACCATCTGAGGGAGATTTATTGCTACCAGATTTATGATTTCTGTTGCTGCTAGCAGGAGGGGTACCAGGAGGCGGTGGAGGAGCAGGGCCTGAGCTCCATGAATTACCATCCTTCCTGCCATGAATATTCTTAGATTTGAATTGTAGAAGGTTTCTTTAGAAACAGAAAAGCAAAGATAAGAGTTGACAATGTTGAAAGGATGCAGAAAGTTGGTAATGCTATCAAATGCTTACGTTATATCGATACTCTTCAACTGTTCCGGTATCCAACCAGTAAAGTGGTTATTTGCTACATTCCTATGAGACAAATACAAATGATAAAAAGACAATATTACAGATCACTCTAGAGAAAAGAAAAGAAAAGAAAAGAATATGACATTCCATCCATGTTAAACTAATATACTGGTTACCCACAGGGTATCAAGAGGAAGATTGGCAAGGACATCGATAGTTCCATCAAACTGGTTGTTTTCAAGGTACCTGCATACAATAAGCAATACAAATAAGACAGAAGTCACACCCAAAATAATAAAGAATATGCCATAGAAAATATTGTCCATTTGTCTCTTATAACTTACATTGAGGTGATACTGGTAAGGTTGATGAAACTCTGAGGTAGATTACTGGTAAAAGAATTGAAAGAGACGTCTCTGGAGCAAAGATTAGAAACAAATTGTCACTAGCTCATCCAGCTAAATCAAGTTTCAACATTTCCTATATCATTAACTTCAAGAAAAAGCAGTCATTTAGGCAGCTGAAAGATGCTTTATCAGTGAGGAGGCAATCCTACAATGTAGTGAGGGAAGAAAAGTGTCCAAAGATGTCGCTCATCTGGCCCTGTAGCTGATTATGACCAAGATTTCTGCATTAAGGAAAGGGAAATTAAGAGAAAAGAAAAGTAAGAATGTTTCCAGTTTCAGTATCCAAGGGCGTTAAGATGAATAAGTGGAAATGAGGAACATCACTCACATATATTGAAGAGAAGTCATTGTCCAATAAGGGAGGTTTTGAGTAAATTGATTACTATCAAGATTTCTGCATTTAAAGAGAAGCACATGTAAATCACTGCAAAACTCAGTAATGAACCAAGACTAAAGGTAATGGGAACAAATGAACACAAAAGACATACAATTGCTGCAAATTTGGAGGAAGTGTGTAAGGTAGCGAGCCAGCAAGATTATTCTTGCTCAAGTCCCTGCAGGTTTTGTCAAATATTAGTGTGAAGATGAGCAAATAAAAGAAAGGAAATCAAGTGACTCTAAAGACTACTGATTCTTACAATACAGTCAATGCTGTCAAACTTTGGAGCTGGTAACCCTGCAATGACCCAGAAAGTCCAAGACCAGAAAGTTTACTGAAAATTTGATGGAAAAATGAAGACCATAATCAGCATCCATAATGACATCTACGAACAAGAAGATAGAAGAAAACCAGGGAATAGAGAGAATCACATTTCTGTAACCCGTTGGCCTGAGCAAGTAACACCTTTCCAGGACTGTCCACATGGATCACCATTGCTCGAAACCCATTGTGATAACTGTGGTAGCGAATTGAAACTGCCAAACATACCTTCTAGGGCAGCAGCTGCACATTAGAAGTTCCACAAGTAGGATAAGTAATCATCAAGAGACTTCGAATTGAAAGTAACTTTCCCCTGGCTCTTTTGATAATAGTGACGAGAAGCAGCACATTGTACTCAGCAGTGGAATAACATGAAAGGTAAATACACATGTAATGGAAAAAGTTCCTGCTATATTAAATTATTAATGTTTATTCATTAACTGAATCTGCAGTTCCACAATTTGTAAATAAAAATGAGGCCGTTAGCAAATAAGACTTGGCAAAAAATACTAAATACTAACAAACTAAGCCACAATAAGTTGCCAATTTTAATTTTTGATTGTTTGACTTTTGAAAACCAAAATCAATAACCAATAACCACAACCATAAGTAATATGAAAATTCAAAAAAAAAAAAAACGATTTCTTGTAAAATATTTTATATTACTTTCACTAAGGGGGGCAGAGAAAAAATCAAACAAATGGAAGAGTTAAGATAGAGAAGGATTAAGCTGGAAGGATGTAGGGAGCACAAAACCATTTTGCACTCATATGTCATTTGCAATTAAAATAAAATCCTGTCATAAAGTAGAGATGTGACACACTTAAATCATAACTTTTAACTTATTCTTCCCCCAATCCGGGGCATTGATTCTGGTAGGCACAGGCAGTGCACAGATACACTGGATTTCACTCGTTTGAATAAAATTGTAGAGTCAAATAGCAATCTAGTGGCATCTACAAATAGGAAATCTGGGCTCTTATTTTATGCTTAAAGGTATAGTATAATTAATAGAGGTATTTCCTTCCTTCAGTACTGCCTGTTGACTGTGATTCTAATGAGCAGACATAAAGTGCCAGGGATTCAAAGATAATCTTCCTGTAATCAGTTTAAGTGCTCTGACATAAATTGTAAAGTTATAGCTCATGGGCAAAAGTTCCTACCAAGTCAAACGTAAGAGCTTGTCATAGTCTCAAAATTCCAGTCTTTCTTAATTTTTAGATGCATCAAGCTAGTTTTATACTGAGAGTGATTCGATCAACTTAACCCCAAAATCCAATTATTTCCTTAACTCATTGGTTGCTGATTGCAGAAAGGTGGCCAAACAATATGGCAACCAAGTTGAAAATTTTCACAAAATGGAAAGAATAAGGAACTAATTTAACCTTGAATTTTATTTACCCAACAAGTCTTTCCAATGGAGGAAAGGTGATATCTAGGCTCAACAAATCACATTAACAACAAGAAAAACTGAAATCACTAACCATAAAACCAATTCTTTACTTCCTTGAGTAGATAAGAACGAGGATCAAAAGAGCAAACTCTTTTCATCTCTATACTGATCTGAACATTCTAAAGCAACCCACTTTTTGGAGACAACTTAAATACACAAACAACCACCACAAAATGCATCAAACAGAATCCATTTGAAGTCGCTATCAGCTCAAGGCAGATAGCATTTCAGTGGCAGGGAATAAGCAAGAAAACAGCACCAAAAATGCAGATTTGAGAAAACAAGCAAGATTCAGCTCATGGGGAATCTAGAAATCTAAGCAAAACAAACAAAATCAAGAAAAGCACTGACCATCTCCTGGATCTGTGGCGCCAGTGACACATCTGGGCTTCAACCCCAAAATGCAGACTGTGAACACCACAAGCACCACCACCTCTCTCCAATTCTCCACCATCTCCGTGACCCTCTCTCCAATCCAGTCACTACCCAGGAACCAGAACTGCTTTGGTCTTAAGCCCTTTTCTTATCTGCTTTTTTTATTTCCTAATGTGTATTTTAGAGCAAAGGTTTTATACTCCTTGAACCATACCCACGTAAAGCTGGCAGGCACAATTTGCCAGAAGAATCCAAAGCCACAGAAAAGCTTACACATTTACCCCCCTTTTCTCACCACCCACCATTTTACCATCTCTCTTTCCCCATGGCTTTGGCCTTTTCCTCACCCAATTTTGTCAATGAAATGATATACAAAAAGGAAATTAAAAAAAAAAAAAAAAAGGAAAATAATTCATCACACATGCTGACTTTTTGGTAGGTGTATCTGGCTCTGTGGTTCTTCCCCAAAATAAAAACCCTTGCTAAGCTGGATACCTGCTGTCCCCATTCCATAAAAAAAACAAAAAAAAAAAAATCCATTTTTATTTATGAGAAAAATGGTATATGTAGCTTTCACCCTTGGAACTTTGAAGGGATTTAGAGGGCAGTATCCATCCCCATCAAAGATTGCTTTAAAGATTCAACAATCACTTAATTGCATAGAAAAATGGTTCCTTCGAATATCAGTAACCTGAGGCTGTTAGAATAAATGTGTCACCTTTAACTGCGGCCACTTGGGTAAATCAATCTCAACGGGAGGGAGGGAGGGTCACGAGTTATGATGAGACGTCCGTAAGCAAAGGATCTTGCCCTTTTCATACCATAGATATTGTTTTTATAGGAGTACATTTACCTCCATGGACCGTATGCAGCAGGAAGACAGAAGATTAGATTCCAAACTTGAAATGAAGGTTTTGTATATATTTTTTTTTTTCTCAACCCTTTCCATTCATTTATTCCTTTTTTTTTTTGAAAAAAAAAAAATCAAGACACCCTGTTATTTGAAATGTTAGAATTGTTTGTGAAGTCATTTAAATAACTTTAATAAATTTTTCTTGGTGTGGGAATTCATAAAAGATATTTAAATTTTTTTTATTATCATTTTTTATACTTTAATTGTATATGTTGATTTTTTTACAACATTTTATAAGTACACTATTTATTTTTAATTTTTAATTTTTTAAGTACAATATTTTTTTACAATACTTTATACAATATAACATATTAATAAATAATTGAATATATACTTTTTGTTATATGTTTAAAATTATTCTACACCTGTTATTTTATCTCATTTGATATATGTGATAATTGTGTGATTTTATTATAAAAGAAGATTATCTTATATATTAAAATATATTAACAAAAAAATTAGAATTAAATTGTTCTCCAAATTTCCAAAAGAAAAATGTGAACATTTACATCGAAATTTGAAACTAAGGAATTTCCAACTTCCAAGACAGTTAGTAAATAGATTCTATGATGATTAAGCTAAGTACATAATAAGATACAAATGATGGTGAAAGAATATAAATTTGCACATTCACTGTCAGGACAGGCAGGGGTGGGAGAATCTGACATATCCATTCTTACTTTCTTTGATTATTTTTATTTTTATGTTATTATATAAAAAGCAAAAATATATTTTCCTTTTATAAAATTGAAGCCCATAATTGAAATTTAAAGGAATATTAATAGTTTTTAGGGTTGTTGAGTTTATGGTTTTAGAAACAATTTGTAGAAGATTGAAGGATGATTTATTTGATTGTGTTTTGTGGGGTATATACCCATAAGTGAACAAGCAAGGAAAAGATAGGCTGAATTACTTTTCTCTTATTCACAATTGAATTCATATATATTCAAGGTTTGTGTAGTGTTTTCCAAGACATTCTGCTAAGGAAATAAGCTATACAAGGAAAAAAATAATATAAATTCTAATTACAAAAAATTAATGATAATTTAGAGAATCAAATCTTTAGTATAATGATAAGATTATATAATGTAACACTTTCCTTAACAATAGGAAGGTTCAAAACTTCAAATCATGTCTAGTACAAAATAAAGAGGAAAGAAAAATGAATTCATACACCTGGATCCATTTGGCTGCAGTTGTGAATAATTAATTGGTTTAATGGCAAATAAAATTGTTGGATAATTATGAAACAGGTAAAGAATATTCAATATCTTTTATAATGGCAAATAAAATCTAGATCTTTTGATAAACTAGTCATTCATAGTCCTTCCATCCACCTCCATTTGCTTCCTTAACTCCGATAACAGCAGTCCGCCATTCTGTTCCTGTTAACCTTATTTTTTTAAACAAGTATAATTTGGGGTAGAAGGATGGGAAATAGAATGGCATTGTTATACTTTAAATTTTAACTATTATCAAGGTATTGAGTGCACGTAATAATAAACTTATGAAGCATGGTGCCTTCCTGTTAACCTCATTAAATTCACACTCTTGAACCTATTCAACTGTAATCTGCTGCCCTTTTGTTTCCTTATCACATTTGTTCAGAACCTGCCCTGCCAAGAAAAAGAATATTGAAGTTACCATAAGAGTTTTAATTTTTTTTTTCTTTCGTTTAAAAGGGGTCCAATTTTTTTTTTTTTTAATATTTATTTTGCTAAGCCCGTGCATAGCTTAGGTTGTGAATCTTCTGAATGTTAGGGGGAAGAAAGTTTACATGCAGAACAAGCACATATGAAATTCAACCATCACCTCCGACTAGTACTCAAATCCCAAAGGAAAAAGAGTAGACCAACGAAGCAGTCAAATGTGGTGGTATTATTATTAGGGAAAAGGAAAAATGAAGATATTTTGATATTAAAAATGTCAAGACGTCTAATAATAACAATATAATAAATTTGATAAAATTAGGGTCAAACTATATCCCACACATTTAATATTTAATGTTACGACATCTTAATTTTTTTTTCTATTATTATTATTATTATTTTGATCATAAGTGGGATTTAAGATGACCCGATCGAGTTTGGTTTAAATTTTTCTTTCGGATTATCCCACTTACCTTTGGATTATATACATGCTGCTCTAAACTTCCAAGGTTGGGGGTAGTTTGTCTGTTGCCTGTCCACACCAAGAGAAGAACATATTCCACCTAATGCAAATGTAGAGGAGCATAATGAAGAAATACCCCCTCTATGAATACATGCAGCAGATAATCAAAATGGTTGTGTTTTGCCTAAAAGAAAAAGGGGAAGGCCTAGGAAGATTTAGAACGAGGTAAAATCTTGTGATATTCTTTGAACAATTTTATTTTCTTAATTCTTTAATTGTAAATGATAGGTTAATGTTCTCTTTTCATTCGTTTGCTAGGATGAAGGGACTTCAACTGGTTTACAACAAAAGATGCAGCAAAATATTAAAAAGGTCAAGAAAAATAAGCCTATGAAAGGGTTTGGGATTATTTATTGAGCTTACCGGAAAGAAAGCGGATTATTGTTAACAGAGTTTAAGGAAGCAAATGGAGTTGGATGGAAGGATGATGAATGATTAGTTTATCAAAAAATTTGGATTTTATTTTCCATTACAAAAAATTTTGGATATTCTTTATCTATTCCCTAATTGTACAGGGATAATTTTATTTGCCATTAAACCTAATTAATTCATAATTTCATATCGTGTCTAGTACAAAATAAAGTCTATAAACACTAATCTTTATATTCATTTTAGTTCAAAGTTTCAAAAAATAAACTGCCCCTTGAGCCTTAACCTTGAGTGATGTCCTTAATTGTTACATCTCATATAAAAATATATTGAATGAAATAAAGCACATATCTACATTGAGTTTTTTTTTTTTCTTCTTTTTTATCTTTTAACCATTATATATAAACATTGGGATTGACTGACATTCAAGTCTTTTACAAAATTTTAATTATCTATTTTTTTTGTTATGAGTAACTGAAATTTAACAACACTTTTTCTTATTTTTGAAAATTAATTATTATTTTATCTTAAAAAAATTATAATAAATCTCTGTTGTATTTAGTGGAATTGTGGAGGCCATGGTTATAGCTGCACAACAAATTATTGGAGTCACACAACAAATTATTAGGGCCACACAAAAAAATTATAATTATATTTAGTTTAACTATTACAACAACTGAGCGTATATAATGTTAACTAATATTCAATGGAACAACTGATTAATTATTTTACAATTTGAAATTAACCTACAAGTTGATATTTTCAAACACTCTAAATAACTATAAATTAATAAAATCAAATAAATTAAATATACTTAAATAATATTTTGCGTGTAGCCTTAATAATTGGGCGTGCGGCCATAACGTTGGCAAACTGTGGAAGCCCCAACCCCCAAAGTCTAATCTCTAAACCATGATGGCACATCTGCCTTGAGTATCAGGTGGCCACTATATATCTGCTCTCACCTAACCAGAACCAGTGTAGGCTTTAGACAAACAAATTTGAATCTTACTGATGTGGAGATACTAACAATTTGGAGATATGTATTGATATAATTATATCGTTAAAAACGTGTTGATTATTCTACTAATGAAGTTACATCACACTTGTCATATTTAATTAATTTTTTATGCATAATGCTAATTCACGCATGAATCATGAAAGCCATGTAGTTTGGTAGGATAGGGATTTTATAAAACTTAATTATACCTATGTATTTACAATTGTGTGACCATAAAATTCATTCACATTTTTATAGGTAAATTGCACATCGAAAATGTCTTTTTATTTTTCATTCCTCTTTAGCACCATTATAACTTTTACTTAAAACTTTTATTATTAAAAAAATTATCATTAAATTACATAAACACACATATAATAGTTATTTTTTTAATAAAAGAGAATATAAGCGATGGAGAAAA